ATAATAGGTCATACCTTGAAGCCTTGTTCGTTTCGGTGAGGTGAGGCTTGATTGAATTTGTGTGTCTGACGATTTCTCCAGAAGCTACCGATCGGTAAACTGACGCAGGTGACACCTTTATAGCCTTAGCAATGGATCGAATAGTTCGGCGCTTCCGCCACGGTAAAGACGTTATTTTGTCGGCTATATCTGTCAGCTTCTTTGGTTTTCCGCATCTTCCTGCTCGCTTGCTCTTAAAGCTTGGAAAACCGCTGCTGTTTTTGCGGTGAATAACAGTCATCCTCCAGACACGGTCCACGGAACTGTGGCTACATTTGAACCGTTCAGCGGCTTCAATAATGTGACTGCGCGGTACGTTTAAGTCGACTGAGTGCTCTAGTAAGTAGGTTGCTATGCCGAGCTTCGTTTCAGGTGTCAGGTCCTTGTTTGTTTGTTGTTGGCTTCCCGCCATTTCCAAATGGCGCCTTGTGTCGCGCGTAAATCTGTAGACCAAGTAGACTAATTCTCTAAGATGTGTAAAACCTTAGGCTGGATGCAAAAAACCTCAAATCTAAGAGATTCTGATTGGAGGGTTTCAGCCAATGGCATACAAGTCTTTCAAATTCCACCAATCATTTTTACTGGTCAAGTAATGTGAAACAGCTCCATCTCTGTTTTAGTCAAGTAAACTGAAACGGAGGGAGTATATAGAATCTACCAGTGGGGCTTTGGCCGTACTACTGTACTGAAGTAGTACACATATGGACGACCAGAAATTACGGTATTTTGCGCAAGTTTCGTTACATGTAGAGGAGTGTGCTTTCTGGCCTTGTGTATGAGCAATGCTCTCCTGCGCGATTTGATTTTTTGATTCGAGAAAAATTTGCGTTTAGTTTTACTCAACTACTTCTGGGATTATATTAGTTCTTGATTAACTAGTCATTCTTTGCGCGCAATATTTAAGCTTATTATTTTTACGTTCAATTTTGCTCACAGATAACTGCTAGAGATTACAGTGGCTAGTTGAAATTCAAGTTTGAGTGTTTGCATGGCCACTTGCTCAGTCATGGGACACTTCAGCTGGGTTAAACGTGTGCGTCGTGCAGTAAGAGCGTGTGTTACGTTTCTTCAAGTATATGGGTGCTTCTATGAAGCATCTTTGTTCAATTACTTTGAAGTGAAAAAAAAAGAGTTCTTTCTTCCTCTGCGACATCGAAATCACGACTACATGTACACCGAAATCTCGACAAAAATTCTATGATTTGCTGATCATAGCCCGTATGGTTTACGGTAGACTTACAAAACTTATGGCTGGCGTAAACGTCAGCCTCAGTCTTCTTGAAATGAAACCAGAAAAATGAGGAAGATGTATTCTTGGAGCGAGCAACCGAGTATCATATCGATCTGCACGGGTGGCAACTACGAGAGAGAAGGTAAAATTCCTCTTTAGGTCCTGTTACCTCATGTATCTATGCTTACTGCTACACCAATCTCAACCAGTTCGACAGTTGTACAGTAAAGAGTATCTTTGCTAATAACAGACACATTATGAACAAACTTTACCTTTTCTTCTGGATAAAAGAACTCTGATCACAAGATACAGCCATTCGGAGTCTCTTAAAACTACAAAATATTGTATTTAACTAAACTATAATATAGTGTAATTGCCATGAAATTCAAGTACTAATGTGGGATGTCACCTCTACATATACAGTAGACATTCTTATATTTTCGTGATTTGATGACATTTCACTATGTAGAATTGAGCGCGGTTACGTACTTTGTCGCCTTCCCGAGCCACTCCATGATCACTAAAAACAAGGTTATTGTACCTCAACCCTTAATTACTGTGGAAGGAATCTTTTTGATCTGTGAGGGCAGCATTTTCCAAATTCTTCCGCGGCTATACTGAAAAATGCAAAATTCCCATGCGCGTTCAATGAACACGCCCGGGAAGGCGTTGAACACTGCTTAACACCAGTCCATCTCCACCCTATCGCATATTTTAATGTAGGAACCGCCTATGTATGTATTAAACAACTGGGTGTCGTGAAAGCGTTTTTGAAGTTGATTATTTAACGAGTCGTTTTTCGTATTTCAAACGGGCCGATGCTTTGGAGACGCGAAGAATTCATTTAGCGCTGATCATGCTGTCGCGACTAGATCGAAGTTCCCAACGGAACCATCTATGCATATTCATCTTGGTGTCGTGATGGCGCTTCTGAGGTCGTGTTCAGCATTTAGATGAGTCTTCGTAAATACAGACGATCCCTCGGTACTCATCGCGTTTCGAACCCACGACATATTCCTGTCTAAGGGTATTCCTATTCACGTATGTACCACCAAAATGGATCGGAGTACCTTTGGTTTGCAACATCCAGTAGTGGAAATGATTGGCTTAGCTCGTCGCTAGCGCTTCACAATGGGTATAGTTTAGATCGCAGCACAGAAAATGATTGCTGCTCCGCGATAACACCATAGTTCACGGAGGCTTCGATGCAGATTCCTTGACTAATGTGACGGTTGCTGTTCTTCCGCCCAACACTACCAGTAAACGACAACCACTGGATGCAGGAATAATTGCAGCGTTTAATAAACGTTATAGGCGCCGTCAAATTCAATACGCGCTGGACAAAATGGAAGCCGACCCAGTGATGGACGTCAACTCGGCTGCCAAACTGTACAAGGTGGGGCAACTTATTGGAGTATTACATGCCACCGTCCCTCTTCGCTAGGTGCTGAAAGCTTACCGGGTTTTTAGACTACTACAATTGCGTTTTCAAAGATCCATTCGAAGATGGTGCAATGTCCGCTGTGCTTGCGACGATGTTATCTCGCCTGCACGCTAAGGATCCAATGTCCGTGGACGAGCTTCTGAACCCACTGGATGAGAATACAACTTCAGAAGATCCCACAGATGAAGACTTCTGTGGAGTTGGCGACCAAAGATTGGCTGAAGATGGCTCTGAGGCCGGCTCAGAAAGCCCTGGCCAGGATATGGAGCGTAGTATTGAGAAGGACCTTGAGCTAGAAGCAGTTAAAGAGCATATCATGTGGATTGATAAGCTTCTGGTCCGTGCAGGTGCGACGGGAGTATCGGATATATCAGTGAGCAGATTGCGAGAAATGCAGCGCTCGCTCCATGAAAAACTTGGAAGAACGCAAGGCCAAAGGTCTTTGCTAGATTTCTTTGGATGTCCTGTACAGTTATGACTTTTTCCATATTTAAGCACCCCAGAATAGCAATATTTGACTTCAAATGTATTCCATTTTACAATTGAGGGGTGAGAGGGAATAATATCTTGGGTTTGTAAGTCTGGGAACCGCTAATTTATTGCTGTTGAGGGAGTATTCCGTTTCTAGGGATTACTACCTAGGGGATCGCCTGTACTTTTCTCGTTTTTTAAGCCGTTCGATGCCTTCGGAGTCAAAAGAATTGATTTAGCGCTGATCATGCAGTCACTTCTTGCACGAAATTCCCAACGGAACCACCTATGCATAGTGTCGTTATGGCGCTTCTGAAGTCGTGCTTAGCATTTAGATGAGTCTTCGTAAATACTTTTTTTTTTTTTCATTTTTTTAAGCTGGTCGACGCCTTCGGAGTCGAAAAGAATTCATTTGGCGCAGATCATGCAGTCGCGTCTAGCATGAAGTTCCCAATGGAACTGCCTATGTATGTACAACCTTGTGTCGTGAAGGCGTTTTGAAAGCCGCCTTGGATGTACAAATGACTGGAGGCGAACAGAATTCATTTTTCGCTGAACCTCAGACAAGTTCCACAAAACTCTTACTTGTACCGACGGGTTTGGTTGCCCAATGGCTTCTCCAATGACGCTCTTCGTCTTGCTTGTCGCGATTTCCTGTCTCGCAACTACTGCGGTTATCTCAACATCCAGAGCCCCATCACTTGACTCGTCACCGATACCGACTGAGCCAACAGATTCCTTTAACTACAGGACTGTAAGTGCAGTTGAGTATGCCACCCCTGCTACTGCGAAGAGTACCGTTACATCGACTTACCGCAACTGGGTTGGAACATGGAGTATGTCGCAAGATACAGCTTGCTATCGAGAGGCTCACATCATGGACGTTTGTCCTAGTAACTACGACCGAAATGAGCTCACGAATACGTGTTGGACTGAATGCCCCATGGACTACCCTGTGGAGTGCGGCATGGAGTGTATTCGACAAAATGACGACTGTGGAATTGAAGTGGCCAGCAAAGTCTCCGCGGTCGCCATTACCATCATTAGAAGTGCTTCATTTGGTGTGTTTGGTGCTCTGGAAATGATAGGGCAGAAGGTTTGGTGGGCTGCCAGATGCACCACCGCGACGCTGTTGGTGATGCGAGGCATCCTCCGGTACATTCGCACCATGAAGGCAGAAGATCCGCAGGCGACCGACCGTAAGTTACTCGTTTTGTTGTTTCAGACCAGCACTGTGGTCACAGATTTACCTATCGCTATTGCCGTGTGCACGAGGAAACCTGTATCGCCGAACCTCCGTCAGTCACAACACGTGCTGTCCACGGCCCAGTGGATGCTAGCGCAAGCTCTCGCCCATGACGATAACATTATCTCAAGTTGGAAGAAATTCAGCGCCTTTCTTAGAGGTGCTAATTTCACTGAAGCCGCCGAAGAGATCACTGAGGGAGAAATTGAGTCGCTCGAGACAGCAATGAAGCAGAACTCGAGCTGTGGTGGTGATCTCAAGTCCCTAATTGACCGGGTATGGCTGACCGTGAACGAGTATCGAGAAGAAAGTCCTGCCATCACGGACGATGAGATTCGACTAAAGATTAGTGACTCCGATCTCGTACTGTACGATGTACCCATAGTGACGAACAACTGTATGCACCAGATGATCGCCGAGTCGAGTTTAGCGACAGCTTACAAGACGCGCGAGGTCTTACGCAAGACCTTTGGAGTCATCATGAACGACCTCATCAAGTCTGGGAAGAGCGACAATGGCACGTCCTACGATGAAAAGAAGAAAGCGTACCGAGTAGTCGACCTTGCCTTCTCCGCTGCCGCTGCTACGTTGCTGGATCCTACTCGTATTACTTTGTTATTTTCCGAGTACATTCAGACAATTTGTGGGCCAACTCAGTTCATGGGCGAGATCGACGACGGCACAGAGCCTGCTACGTTGGGGCTGAATACGCTTCAAAAGGCATTCAAAGGGACAAAAAGCTCCTGGACTAAAAAGGGTGATGGAGCCGTCATCATCAGCTTTACGAGTACAGACACCAAAGACGTTACGGTAAACATCATGTCTGGCGGGGACAGGATCGACGAAATTGACGTGAAAGCAGGAGGAACCGCACAATGGAATTCAACTGTCAAAGCGCTTGGTGGTAAGACGCTCTACCTTGACCGCTGGCGGCCGGGATTCCTCGGTCTTCCTGGCACAGGAGGCGGATCACTTGTCCTGTGGGTGCCTAGGTCCTCTCAAGGAGGCCATTTAGAAATTGAGGCGAAGCTTAACGTGAGCTAGCTCCCCTTTACAATGAATTAGAAGTTATTTTACTGAAAGTAACATGAACGGCTCATCACAGCTGACAAATCTGGAGTTTTCTTCTACTGATACAGAATCATGTATGATTTAGTAAATTTCCATATAAAGAGATGTAATGCTACGCCGAGATACAAAATGCTCGCATAAAGCGGACAAAACTAATGCATACAGTGACAAAAATCAACCATTTCTAATGCGACACAATAGTGGAGGTAGGATCTGCAGAGTGCGCAAATAATAGCAGATTTGAAAATTCTCTCACTCTCAGAATGGCCCAAGGAAGGTCGCGGACACTATAGTACAGTGGTGCACCTCATTTTCGACACCGGTATGCCTCTATAACCTTCAAAATTTTATGATTCCGCTCAGTGCATTGCGCAAATCGTTTGCCATCACCGTTGGCTGAATTAACCGCAATGGTTTCCCCTCCTCTGACACGTCGCGCCGCAGCGACCTGACGCTACCGAACAGACGAGTATAAAACTGAAGCTCACCTTATTTTTTGCTGCATCATACCATGGCACGTCGCCCCTCCACCTATTCTACGCTAAGTCTCGCTGACAAGCAGACGATATGCTGCAAAGCTGCTGCTGAGCCATGGTGATCAGTAACAAAAGTTTCTACGTGGTCATCCACAAGCTTCTACCAAATACAACTGCTGCCTTGCATCCGATGGATCAAGGGATCATCAAGAGCCTCAAGGATCATTACCGGACAACAAAGTAAGAAGCAGAGCTGGACATGTTCTATAGGGGCGAAAACTATAAACCAGTCGATATTTATACAGCCATGAAGTGGTGCTCAGAAGGCTGGTCTGGTACTTCGACGAAGACAATTAGAAACTGCACAGTGGAAAGATGGATCTGCGATATCTACTGAATTAAAGTATTAAAAAACAGTACACTTGGCCCATCTGCGTTCCTGCATAATTTTTCGCCGTTGGCAGACTCTATATGGTCCACCCTGTCGAAAACGAGGTGCACCACTGTACCTTCTTCGCTATATATTCTTCGCTACCACGACATTTCCCTGACGCCGTTTTCGATCCTGATCTACATCATACCGGCACCCGCTCCCGCGAA